GGCGAACTCAAACTCCTTCAAAATCGCTCAAAAAACCGCTTTTGAGGCAAAAGGACGACTATATACCACAGGTAAGGTAATTCAACGTTTATTTAACGTTGATTTATATACACATACTTTAACTTAGTGACATATCGCTATGGGTGAGGCAAACGGTAAATCCAGTACATTTACTGTAAAACAAAAACGCACTTACAGCGGCATTCAGGTCTCACCTGCTTGGAGATTAGATCGAGAAATGAGGAGGCGATTAATTCTATAAGAAACATGATTTACTCGCTTAAGGTTTTTTACTTCCTACTTTATCGACATCGGTACTTGTTATTTGTTTCTGAATTAATTTAGTACGCGTGTTAGCGACGACCAAAAATACCTCTGTGGTCGTAGGCTATACGAGTGTATAAATACACGAAATTCAAGGGCCTCGATTCTAGAGAAATTACATCATTACCAGAGATTGAAAAAGTGATTTACATGACACCTCATTTCAATCATCGCCCAAAATAAATCGCATGCTTATCACAAGACTCATTTGCATACAGTAAAAGTTTACAACACCCGATCATCACAATTTTGCTAATTAAGATTCTTATTTTTTTCAACCACTCAGTACTGTTCACTTGCTCCAAAGTAATCAACGCTTTCAAGCGACAGAATTTGTGGACCGACACGTTTCGGAAAAGCCCTTAATTTAATCTTTGCCAAGCTGTCTTCGCAAAACATGCGTCGCTTCCATCACGCAACGATTCTTAGTCCCAGTTTCTGCAAGGAACGCCTGGCACAATGACCCGCCTTTTGTGTCCCAAATAATATAAGGGACTACCCCCCACCCCCGGGGCGAAATTGCAGATTATGAGTGTTGTTGCTTGTGCAAGCGAGACTAATAACATTGGCTACATACACTGATTGTGTGGGCGTCCTGTGGTAGTTTGCGCATCGACGAACTTATCATGGTTTGGAACTTGCGTAGGTGCCTGCTCTTGAGCATCTTCGCACTGCTCATTACAGAAGAACCAGAGTAACACGATTGAACCTTTATCTCCCTAGCCCCTGGTCTGTCCCTGGCAGGTTCGTTCCGATTGACACGCGCATAAACGTTCCAGCGCCCGCTTTATAATTGCTAAAAAGGGGGCAAAATAACCATATTTTACGTCAACAACACGTGACAGCCCCCCCCGCCTCTCCATCAATGCTCAATTTTAAGGGTATTTGCATCCTCGGAGACCCAGGGGCAGATAGTGGGGACAAGGGAAAGTCTAAAAGGGCGGAAAAATGTGGCACGAAGAAAAGTAAAGAACGGCGAGAAGAGCCCCTGGGGACAATGTCTTACCAGACCAGTTCCAAACGGTCGCCGCCGTTCTGGCTTCTGATTCGACATCCACAATGGTTTCCAGGGTGGGAAATTTGACTCGACCGCCATCTTGAAAAGTGGAGAGGACCTGGGAATGAGTGAGGGGTCCGCCATCTTGGAAAATACCCAGAAGTCATTTGAGCGAGTTCCCCGCGTCCAAGGAAGGCTGAAGGAAAGGTAAGGAGTATCGTGTTGCTTTTATTAAGCAAAAATGTTGTTTTTTATGCCCATCAGTGCTCTGTCTTTAAAGTTCTAATAACATGAGGTATTTTTCCTTCAGCTTTGAGAAGAAATACTCGCACAAGAGCTCATTTAGATCAAAATTTATTTCCTACTTACCTGTCTTCAACAGATGCCGCCCTGCCTCAAGTTTTCGATACTCTCTGTGTTTATAGATTTGCTAGTATACTCCAAATGTCAAATTAAATGAAATTCTGGTCAATTCTGGACCTCAGTTACAAAAATCAGTTGGATGAAAGCGGAATACGACCTACTCCAGGCGTGACATAGAGGATGAATCCAGAAACCTGTGCCAAATCTCACCAAACAATGACAAGTAGTGCTCTATTAAATAATCTTATTTTTTGATACTTTCTATGTCAATTTTTTAATAATTCTACAGTAAAAAAATTTTGTCTACAAGAAATACAATTTGGATTGTTTTGAGAGGATCTTGTTTAATCGTTATTTGTTCAAATCAGTGTTGTGCAGCTTTTGATGTAGTGCTACTTTGTTCCAGGTTCTGGTTGAGTTTGGCGAAAGCCGTAAAGTTGTCTCTCTAGAAGAGGAAAACTCTATGGTTAAACTAATAAAGGATGCATTTGGAATTGAAGGCGAAATCTTGTTACAGAAGTTTGACAAAGAGTGGCAAGAATTTATTGATCTTGAAGGGAATGCTGTTGTAGAAGACAAGGCAAAGTTGCGTGTCATTTCAAAGGTGTGCAATGTGATAGGATTTGAATATTTACCTATTCTTGTAGTTGATTTATGAAGTCTGTATGATTTTCTTTGTTTGATTGGCTGAATTAAGGAATTAGCTCCAATCAGAGACAGTCACAATGAAAGGGCTGCCAAATTTCCAAATGATTTTTAGAAAAATATTTACTCATTAAAATATAATTATGTCGTATTTTGCTCTCTGGCCTCAATACATCTCTGTTTTTCACATTAACTGGGCAGTACCACTTCTATTGTGTGACAAACGCTAATTAACTTTGTTTGCTGATATATACAGCTGTCAAGCCGTGTCCCAGCTGTTCAACCCACTATATGTGCGACATCAGCAACCACAGGTAATCAAATTTATTGACACCTTTCATACCAGACAAAAGCTTGAACATTTTTCTCTACTGTAGCTGTAAATAGATAGGTTTAGAAAATCTGTTATTCTTCCGTCACCTTCGACGATCTGCACACTTCCACACTTTCATGAATTTAGTAAAATAGAAGAAGGTTTATCAGGCATCTCCTAATGAAACAGAATAGATTACATATGCCAGTAGATGAAATAGTGCCATTACAGTAGTAGTGTTTATTCTTTTATACACCTGATTGAAAAAACGTTGTCGCTTGAAAAGTATAAACCATGAACGGTGGGACCTAATGGATGTATGGGTACAACTTTATTAGCATTGCAAAGTTAAAGTTCTTCTAAAAAATGTTTGCATTTACGAAGCTTTTCGCGAGGATGCATTCCAAAAAATGTAAAACGGTTTCCAGTATTTACGGCTCACAACTTCACCAGTGCTGGACACATAGGAGATTTCTACAGTTAAAGAGCGTAGCCATATCGCTAACGCACACTTGAAAATCATAAGATAGCACCTATAAAAGTGTTATTGGAAGACAAAAAAAGACAACAGCATGCCTTAAACAAAGTACTCTAGGGATTTGCATCCGCACGAGCACCTCGTGACAATGTAAACTTTTGTCGAAAGAACTTTGAATTTGCTTTGCTAATGAACGTATACCCATAAATCCTTGAAACCTCATCGTTCATGGTTTATACTTTTTAGTGACAACGTTTTTTCAATCAGGTATATTTATAGTTTGTTCAGGAAGTCAATCAACACTTGTCAAAAGCAATGGCAAGATAGCGAATGGCCCCAAAGTAAAGGTCAGTGATCCTTGTGAGTGTATTTTGTTCAATGGTAGTCTGGTTCAGTAATTTTATGGTTAATGAAGGAAATAATGCCCATGCCTGTCTGAAGCAAGCAATTACTAATGCTAGCATTCCATTGTTATAAATTCAGCACTTTGATTTAATATAGTTTATTTTACTGAATCATGATTAATATTGATACATGAATGTAAAGGACCGGTTTTCTCCGTCAATGTATATTGGTTTATATATTGAATTCTTAAAGTGGAATATATGTACAACAGATTTTAACATAGAAAATCACCTTCAAGGGGCGTCCTACCCCATGTTTCAGGATTAATAAAACAATAATATTTTATACATTTGGTATTTATTTTGATACATTGAATTCTTGCAAGGAGAAGCAAAGGGGAAAAACAAAACTATCCATAAACTATTCATTTGTCAATACTAATGGATATTTTGATCTGTTGCTCTTATGCTGGGACTCTAGTTGTACTGTAGTAAGAAAAATATTTTCTCATCAAAATTGGTTAAAATGTGAAAATGAAGTGACTGATTATCTTTTAATAGATAGTTCATTTTGTTTGTCTCAAAGATGACTGGACAGAGTACAAAAAATAGTCAACAGGTGATCAGTGCAGCCATGATTTATGGAAAGGGCTCATCAGACAAGGTGTTAACACCCTACCAGATGTCAGTAAATGAGGCTGCAGGTAAACTGGCTCTTGAGAATCCTTCCCTGCTTGACCAAAGGGGTATCCTGTATGAGAAAGCTAAAGAGGCAGTAAGGGGTGATAGTTGCTTTGTGTTTAAGAAAGGAAAATCCCGATCAAAATCAGTTGAAGAAGTAGAGCCAGTACCATCCAAGAAACAATATACCTCGGACACATTCAGAAAGGAACACACTGCCCAACTTCTTGAAGACGTTGAAGGAAAGCAGCAGCAACTGAAGTACAAACAGCTTCGTCAAAGTAAAGCACAGGCATCTAAAGACTGGGAGACGTGTGATAGGCTACAGAAGGAAATGGCCACATTAAGGAAGGAAGTTTTTGAGGCCCAGAAAGAGCTGAAGTTGTTTCAAAGAAAAGAAAAGAAGTCCAAGTGGTACAAAAAAAAAAACAAACAAACAAACCAAATCACTGGTGTCACAGTTTCGAATCAGGCCTCTGTTGACGTTTACAGGAAAGGAAACAACAATAAAAATATGAATCCCAATCAGGCCCCTGTGGTTCTAGGGCAAGAAAACTGTACCACTACACAGCCGTACACGTGGTACAGAGTTTTAAAGATTTGTCTTCCTGTGTTAGAGTTGATGATTTTACTGACATTTCCGCATTACAAGGATTTACTTTAGAGAGTTACGTTGCCACAAAGGAAAAAATACGCATTGCAGAACGTACCCAACTTTGTAAATTGTGTACTGGATTGTTAACAGTTGCAAAACGAATTGCTGATGATGGGTACATTAGATTAAATGAAGCATTCTCAATATCCAACCCCGGTGTGAAGTACAAGTCAACACATGCCAAAAGAAAACTTCTTCAAATGCCTCTCGCTGCTATCAGAATAAAAGAGAAAAATAACCATGCAGTTTTCCTTGTTCCAAGGGAAAGCAATTTAGAATTAGCTCGAAACCTCTTGTCAGGATTGGACAGTGAATTAGACATCTTTGTTAAAGAGCATGTGAAGAAAAGTGTAATGCATGTTTACGTTAAAGACGTTTTAGCAGCTGCCGAGTCAGATGCAGAGAGGGAAAGAATTACCTATGCTGTTGAGGCAGCATCTGGGAAAAGCAATACAAAGTTAAGAAGCGCCTTTCGTTTTGAAGATATACAGAGAAGAAAGGAAAGAGTAGAAAATGCTTTAAGAGAAGCAAGAAAAATCAGGGAAGCGGTAGACTCCATTGCAAGTATTCAAGAAAAAGCTGTACTGTCATCATTCGGTATTCAAGTTGACAGTGATGATAGTGATGAGGATGAAGAAAGTGAAACTGATGCAGAAAATGAGGAGGGAGACAATAATAGGGAGTCACAAGAGGATGACCCAGTGAAAGGCACGAATGGAGATTCAGTGGTGATTGACATAACTCATCAGTTTTCTCTCAGCAAGCAAATAACCGATACAGGATCAGTTTATCAGAATTCTCAAGAACTGATGGACCTACTAAGAGCCTGTGAACTTAACTGGTTTCTTTTTGTTGAAGTTATTGAACAGAAGTTAAGCGGCTACACCAAAGCTGCCACAGATCAGATCCTCTTAGACTTCAGTGGCCAAATCCAGTCGCTTAAGTTGAATGAAAGGGAAAAGTCTATTATAGAACAGAGCAGACAGGCATATCTTCTTTCAGAAAGACTACAAGGAAACCAGTCAGATGTGGATGATGATGCCATCGGATCTGAAACTGAAGAAAGTGGTGCAGATTGGGGAAACATTCATGATCCCCTACAACCTGAAGCACGGGACATTATCTCCCAAAAGGTAAAGCAGTTAAAAAGAAATGCAAGACGAAAAGCAGCCCAGAGGATAGCAGAGGCTAGGTTTCTGAGACGAAAGAGAGGGGAAAATGTTGGAAAAATTTTCAAAGAGTGCCCAGATATTGGTTCCACCATTGAGAATTATGTGAAGAGTGCTGGAGTAGGAGCTGACAGCTGGAGAAGAACTGGGATTCTTACATTTGAGGGAAATCGGAAAGTTGAAAAAAAAGCAACTTTCAGTAGAATAAAAGAGCACTTGGAACGAGCTTACCAAAGAAAGTTTGGATATGGGACTGTGGTGCAACTTTGTGTTGCAAGAAACAAAAGACGGTTGTCTACCAGTCGGTATAAAGGCCTTGCAAAGGTCACATGCCGCCAAGCCCGAAAAGGCTTTACAATACGAAATAATCTAGATAAGCATTGGTCATCTGCCCTCTACAGGGCCCTTGATGCTTTGCAGCTCAAAGACGGCACAGATATCATCAACATAAATCGAGATGACCAGGCTGGGTTTCGGTTAGATACCTTAGCCACCCACAACAAGCAAGCAACATTGTGCATACAGGATAGTGTTCCACTCACCACCAAGACAGACTATGTGAACAAATACCAGTCAACACTTCAAACGACCTCATACAACTTTTCCAGCACAGGCACAACAGCAGAGATATGTGCTGGCATTGTTAAGGCCATCCCACTTCATCAGAAGAATCCCGCACAACATGCACATGATTTGAATGTGATTGAGACATATTCAGAGGTGGAGCCAGCATTTTTCAACCATATTACCGGAGAGAGAAAGAGTAAGGTTTGTGTTAGAGTGGATGGAGGGCATGATGAAGGGCCGTCACACAGGAGGTTCAATTTTGGTGGACTAACTACCACCTCGAAAAGTCATCTAAAGTGCTCATAGTAACCACTAGAGATAGTGGCTCCAGCAACCAAAACAGAGTGGAGTTGCAGAATGGATGCCTGGCTCTCGGCCATAGCAATTTGTTTATCCCGTCGACTCTGAATGGTTCCTGTTTAGACTCCAAAACTGGTAAGATCGATGGTAATAAACTTAAGGAGAATCTTAACGATGCGATTGATATTTACATCAGCAGGGTGAACAAATCCCCATGCGCGAACACCAAAATTCATCTTTATAAGGGAACAGATAGTTCATGTTATCAAACGCTGAGAACATTCGTTAAGGTATTCCTTAAAGGAAACCCAGCCGAAAAAGCCAATTTGAAGAATGAACACCCAGGAACGTATAATTGGATCGATGAAGTTTGGTCGTTACAAAATCATCACCTGATGTCTGGTATGCCATCCAAGTATGTTTTCCCTCTATTTCTGTGCTACCAACCTAGTTGTATCCACCCCTTGTGCAAGTTAGGAACACCACCTAAAGAGGAAACTTGGTATGAAGGAGGACCTCCACTGAGTTTCACTCCACTTCCTGTTGCAGACCCGAACAGGTAAAGAAACAGAAAACAATGCACAAGCTCTTTCTTGTTTCTGTAGACTTATCGCCCTTTTTTTTACCTAGGTACTATGGCAATCCAGCGTGTGCTGACTTTAAAGGCAAGACATGTGCAGGACACTATATGATGCCTGACGAGTTGTTCTGCTGTGATGATTCAACTAGAGTGGCATCTTCGCCTCCAAGTGAAGTACTGAAAACTCTGTATGACAAGGATGCAAAAGACCTGAAAGGAGCAGCAAAACAAGTAATTCTACCCACAAATGAGGTAAGACACATTAGAATTGTACTGACGAGAATTTAAGATTCATTACAATTTCTGCTTAGGACAAGAATAGATTTAAACCTAATAACTTTTTCAATAACCTCAAGGTTGCGCTGTGGTTTACCCACCTAAAGACTGTTCAGGACAACAGAAAGAGGGGAGCAGCAAAAGGAAAAGGATGCAACAAGAGGAAAAACAAAGGAAAAAGAAAGGATGCAACAAGAAAGGCTCATCGAACGCCTGTATATTGATTTCAAGTAAAAATAGACAGAAACACAGTTACCCTCAAAATACCGTTTTATTGCAATTCAAAATTGTCATGATTTAAATTGGGCACTGACTTGGGCGCCTCTTTCCTTTAAGGTACTCTGTGGCTACTGCAAAAAAGAAGACCCAGAAGAAAAGCTGAAACTGTAGAATGGATCCAGTGTGATACCTGTGATAATTGGTATCAGCAAGTTTGTGCATTAACCCCTCTTGATGACGACATGTTCTGGCATTGCACATTTTGTGTTGCTGTAAATACTATGTGAAACAATTCACAGGTATTTTCAGCAGTACAGAATGTGTGTGAAATTGCTAACCAAAACTGAACCATGCTAAATACCTGGAATATGCCTTGTTCATTTAGGAAAATGCACAAACTTGGTGGGGACCATTTGCCAACAAGTACTGTTACTGTCTGGAGGAGTGCTGCAATAAACGTGTTGTGAGTGCCTATCATTTCGTTTAACTTACTATGAAGGTCTGTGGTCCCCAGGGGTGGGAATTTGACTTACAATGGAGACCCAAGGGTGGGGAAATTGACATTTGAAAACCTGAAAATGTCAAATTTCCCGTGGGTTACCCGGGCCCCCCATCCTGGGGCAAACCATTGATAGGTGCATAACGCAATCGAGTCTAAAACGGCTCTTTCACGAGACACGTGTCATGTTGAGCGAGCGGGAATTTCGCTGTGGCCAGTGTCAGTTTCATTGCAGAAATAAAGTCAAACAAATAAATTGTAGACCTGATTATATACTAGAAAGGATAGATATTTGGTGAAGATTTTGAAAACTTCGCTGTTTCGTGGTAAGAACTTGACCAAGGTGTTTACATTGGCGAGGGGAGTTCAAATAATGCACCTGAAGGCCAGGATAAGAGTTCTTCATTCACGGCTGACAAAATGGTATGAAACCTTCCTAATGTATATATGAAGCATTATGTATCATTGTGGGACTTGAGATTGCTTACATTAAACGTATTGTGGCTGAAACATTTGTTGGAGGATCGATTTGTGTCATGCCGAATCTCTTAACTGTCAAGTCAGAAAGGTCAAATTACCCTTAAAATGCTCCGTGAACTTTGCGTTCCCAAAAATTCATTTCATGTTGCCCAGAGTTCTGAAAGCATATTTTTAAAGCTTGCTTTTTAATGTGGAATGTCTTTTTCTGTGTGAAATCATGTATCGGATGTGATTTTAGCCCTTTGAAATTTGACAATATTTTGCTCGAGTAAAATCCTTAAAATTTTGTAAATATCTAAAATTCATAAAATATTCCAGTTGGAATCAATTCGAGAACATAACCACTCAAAATGTTTATTAAAACCCGTTTAATACGATAAGAAGCATTTTGGGTTGAATTATATTTGAATTTTCAATTCAAATCGTGGTCTTTTTGTAGCCCTATCTAGAGGCCCGAAAAAGCGGTCTGGCGGATGCCGTCAGTCGCGTGAATTCGCTTTCCCCGTATAGCCAAAACATTTATCCAATGAAACTAAAATTTATATTTTCATAACTAGAATACCTAGGGAAGTCTACAGAATTTTGGGGGGATTTTTCAAAAATTTTATTTTTCCCACCTCTGGTCAATATTGACAGACATCCGTTCTTAACATACATGGCAATATTGTCAATGTACTAGCTGATGTAACTAACACAATTAATATTTTACCACGGTTACAAAGTCAAATCAGTACTATAAAAATAAATTTGAAAGAAAATTGCAATACAAGAGCTCAGAAATGGCATTGAATGTTAGACCATACAAAGTGATTGAAGCCGCTAAATGGCTAATTAGCAATAGTAGCCTACATAGAAATGAAGGTATAGCATTTGATAATGACTGGCTCAATAAGTACAATTTAGAAATTGCACAGAGAAAATAATGACGCTGAAATTAGTTGTAAAAGTCAGAAACAGTAAATGAAAACAACTACAATAATATTGGTTCTCAAAAATCAGACAATCAAGATGAATGGAGTGAACATGAGGCTGAAATACCTACAGGTGTTACTGATACTATGTTAACACCAACTCATTTTTTGGAGAATAATGAACGACAACATATTCTAAATGTTGCTCCAGCTGAAGGCAATGGACCATTAAGTGTGTTCAGAGATGAATACTCCGAAGAACTGGCATATCCTCGGATATTTCTTGGTCAACCACAGCAAGAAACTAAACAACCAAAAGCCACAGTAAACTATAGTGCTATTTGTAAAAATCACAGCGAAGAAGGTCAGACCGATGAGCTGCCATGTGTGTTGAAAAAATTTTCTTTAAAACAAAGACATGATATTAATTTGAGGGGGACTCGGAAAAAAAATCCGAGTCCCAGATGGGATTTGAACCCACGACCCTCCGTGATCTAGTCGGATGCTCTAACCACTTGAGCTACTGGAGACTCTATGGTGAGCAAGGGCCAATTTGTGGGTCTCGACTGGAACCGCATCACGCGGCTACACAGCCAAGTAATGATAGGCACACAAGAAGTGAAAACTCACTAACAGCATCGCTGTTACAAATGAAAATCCTTTTATGTAGTCGCACATACCTCTACGAAAGTGCAAAAGAAATAACACAAACATCAGTGCAGGACAATTAAAGCAACAAGGTGAATTAGACAGGTTAATACACCATGATGAGGGATTCAAATCCTAAATGCATTACGTGGCTCACCTTCATATTTTGAAAAATAAATGGATATCCAGTATGTACTAGATGTATATGCATGTGCTGTCTGTATAGTTAATTATATATCAAAGGGTCAAAAAAGGATGAGTGAACTTTTACGAGAAGCTTGTACTGAAGCAAGGAAAGGAAACCATATCATCAAAAAGCAAGTCAGAGATATTGGTAGTGGATTTCTTGATAGTATTGAAATAAGTGCACAAGAAGCAGTGTATATTGTTTTACAATATGCCATAACAAAAGCATCTAGGCAGATTGTATTCGTTAAAACTTCACCTCCCGATAAAAGAATGGAACTATTAAAGCCATTGCATGATATTCAAGAAATGGATGATGACTGTGAGGATAACTATACCAGCGGTTTGATAAACAGTTACTCTAAGTGCCCAGCACAACTTGAACATTTAACACTTGCAGACTGGGCTGCGTGGTATGATTGCAGTGGGAAACCATAAGCAAAACAAACAAATCAACAAGATATTGATGGTCTTCCAGTTGAGAATTTTGTTGATGATAATCAAACTAACAGTGATGACAATGATGATAAATATAACTAAAATATTTGTAGCAAAACTACAAAAAGGGACTAAAGTTCGAATAATACAAAGCGTCTGGTTCAATAAGGAAACTGAACAACTCATTGGCCACTAGTCATAATGACAAACCAGTTCACTTTGGTTAAGCTCATTTATACCTCGTTTCTGACTCAACAAAATAAAATAACCAACAAGGGAAAAATTAATTTGACCGAACAAGTTCCAGTTCTCCCTGCACAAAGTCACAGTGACCAACTACTTCAAAATTTTCCATTGTTCACCATGGACGTTTTTTTTATGTTGACTTCAGCCATTTTTATAATCGGAATAGCATTTCATGTTTATCCTCTTCTTTATTACTCCGATAAAATCAGTTTCACCAAGATCCTTGATCACTTAACCAATCGCATTTCTTTTACGAAAAAGTTCTACAATTGACCAGTCAGGGTCAAATTTTGACTCTAGACATATAAACGCCAATGTGACTGGATCGGCTGCTCAAAAGATTTAACAGCCTTAGCCAGAGGTCTCTGACTGGCCTGCAATTCAGAACTTTACTGTTTATGCTTCTCACCACTGGCGAGCGAGAACACCACTGGAATTCAGGCTACATCTTTAAATACTCATAACATTCACCAATAATTAGTGCTATTCTATTTCAGCTGAAACACTTGAGGGTTATGTCCACTTGATAAGTGGAGTTAAAACTGCTGCAAGTGGGTCAACAAAGAACTTTGACTTGAAGCTACAAACAACTAGAGGTGATACTGTACGTATGGTATGCTACTCACCAGAAAAGCGACAGAAATTACAACTTAATCCCAGCAGTATAAATCGCCCGTCAAAATCTCTAGCCTTCTTAAGAATACAGAAAAGAGTTTCAACTCTTAAAGTGAAGAATACATCATATCAAAGAAAGCAAAAATCTCCACAGATTGGATCTTCAACTCCAATATAATGATGCCCTTAACAACAGGCTTCACAGAGTCAAACAAGCTTTGGATACAAACATACATGTATATGAAACTGTTCATCTCAAAGTTAAAATCACAGCCTATACTCCACGGTGACAAGACCAGGTAAAAGACAGATTCTATAGTAGCAGATGAAACTGTTGCTGTAAAACTTGTTCTGTGGAAAGATACTACTGATAAGTCCATGTTGGTAAATCAGATCCAAAATTGTAAGATCAGGGTCTTTGACGACTCCAAATTACTCAACACTAATGAATTCACTAAAATAACAGAAATTGATGAAATTCCTATCATCAACCTGGCGACACCTGAACTGCAAGACAACATTATTAATGGTCAATGCCTTGGAGTTGACTTGAAATGCACCACCTCTTGCATTTGTTGCAATAAAACCACTGATGAAACCAACATAGTTACATGTCTGAACTGCAGCATGACACTCATCAAAGATGTTTTTTAAACTAAAGTTGTTGCTAAACTACTCATGAAAATTGATGAGAAGCTGGTCAATTATACAGCCTTCAGTGATGCCATCCAAAGCTTCATGTCCAACATCAATTGTAAAACAAGCTTATCTAAAATGACTTCTGCAGATTTATCAAAGCTTTTCTTTAATGCTGGAAAACAAAAGATGATTTTAGATCAAAGCACGAGAGTAATTTCCCAGTTTTTGCCATCCACCTCAGCTCTACTGATGCGATTACAGCCAACTCTCTCTAAGACGGACACTTAGTGCCGGTCCCAAAGGTGTCCGTCTTATAGAGAGTCAAATAAAGGGAGTAAAGAAAGGCAGGGACTAACTCTAAGTGTCCGTTTTACAGAGGTGTCCGTTAAGAGAGAGTCGACTGTAGACCATTCTGCTTACTGCATGTTATTCTTATATTATATTAAAGTTAATATCACAACTAATATTAATGGAATATTCGATCAGAAGTTTAAAGACAATGGTTTTATCTTTTAAAGTTCAAGTTTTGTTAGTGCTAATAGAAATATCGATGACGACACAGTTACGTCTTAACTGCAATATAGCACTCATCAACGAAATGTTATATTCAAGTTAATATCAGAATTATTATTAATGGAGTATTTGATCAGAAGTTGAAAAACATTTGCTTTATCTTTCCAAGTTCAAGTTTGGTTAGTACCAACAGAAATATCAATGACATGGTTACATGTACGTGTCTGAACTGCAATATAACACTCATCACCAGTATGTTATATTCAAAGGTAATATCAGAATATTACTATTATATATAATATATATATATAATGTATACTATTTTAGTATATACACACTCAGTGATCTTGGTAATTCAAGCAATCTGATTGGTTAGCTATCTCGGACTATGACGTTATATTCACCACGCTAGGCGTGAATATAAAGTAGAACAAAATCGCTGTCGTGAACTAGGTGTTTTGCCAAAGTTTCATAGTAAAGCCTTTTTGAAAATACACGAATATCCAAGTGCCGATGACTTTGAAGGCAAGAGAAGACTTCATGGTGTTTAAACAGCGTGGTTTATTGTGAAGTGGTTTACTGAAGCTCGAAGAGGTTGCTTTGTCATTGTTTTGTGATTTCGGGATTTTCTCGCAAGACCAATTTTGCCTATAAATAGAAGTTAGTTTATAGAGAAAAGAGGAAGGCAAATATTTTCGAAAATTGTACGTGCCAGCAAGTAAACAAGGCAAAGAACATTAGAAATAAACAACGCTCACATTGATCGTAGCCGCTGTTGACAGCATTTGCAAGAAGCGACAAAGAAAACTTTCTCACTCACGGTGAGTTGACAGAAACAAATAATGCTCAACTTTTCTTCTCAGAATTGGGTAGTAATTTAAATTTTCGGCGTTTTCTTTTAAACCGTTGATGCTAAGGCTTACAAATCTCGATACAAAAAGATTAAAACGATCATTTGCCATGTTTGAAGATACTGTAAAGATCTAACTTGTGCGCATCCACCGTTTACCGCTTCGTGTTCACGGATGAATTAAATATCAAACTAATCGTTTTTTAATGGTTTCCTTTCTGATTCTGTTGAGATAACTTCGTGTGAATATACTAAAACAATTATTCACCTCAGGCTCAGTTAATATTGTTGAATAATCCAATTAATTATTAATTATTCAACAATATTAACTTCGCCTTCGGCGAATAATTGTTATTGTTACTATTAAATTAAATATTAATGATATATTTGATCAGAATTTCAAAGACAGTTCTTTTATCTTTCCAAGTTGAAGTTTTGTAAGTACTAATGAAAATATCTGAATAAATTGTTTTGTTCTTGCTGTTGCCATCCAGTGTAATATTACCATTGCTTCTTAATTATTACCAAGATAACATCAAATGTTAATAAAAGTCATTTCAATTTTCCAATAAACCCCACGATTTCCATTGCCATGGTGTTAACTTCCCCACCCAGTACCAGGTACCTGAAGGTTGATTTACTGCTACAACTTGTTGAGTTTGGTCAACTACATGTTAAATTGTTCTATCCCCTTACATTTAGCGGAAACTAAATACCAGTTCTATTTGCATTTCTCTGCTGCATTTTCCTAATAAAACAATGCTCCAAATAGATTCTTTCTGAAAGTAATTTTTTTACTCAAAACACGATCTATAGTAGCTGCGGTGGTAAACTGAATTGCAGATGGGCTTTGTTTGAAGTTAATACCTAAAACTTAGGAAACTGCTACCTGAAAGGGTAAACTAACAAACTATGTTCAAACCAAACCATCTTTTTTCTCAGGTTTGGCGTTGACCACACCTGTTCATTTCCTGCTCTACATTTTGTACATTCCTTTTTTACTGCCATATATTCTACAAAACTAAAACAGTAGCCTTATGCAGTCAAAGACTGCCTTTTATTGTAGTAGTCTCAAGAGTATACCTGTAGAATCGAGACCTTTTCCCGGTCTTATCAGACTTCATATGACACCTGTTTAGAGTAGTGAGATAAACTCATGAACAAGGAAATGTTATCCAACAAGATATCACCTCTGTGCTTCCTTATGCTGACCGAGTTCCTTAGGCGATTTGCAGATTTGGGTGTTGTTTGTCTAACAGCTGAAAAAAAATCCAAACAACTGTTGGAAAAGATGGTAGTTCTTTACGCAAGAGCCTAATTATACTTCAGAATATTTCAACTACAACCAATTTTTAACACTTCAAGTGGTTTTTCTTTTCACACTCGGGGAGAAGTTTTTACTTCACGTGTTTTCGCAGACGATTTATAAAACTTGATTGACATGCGTCTCCTTCTCAAAGCTTGACTCATGTCAACTTTCTGACTTCAATAGGATGCAAAGTAATGGAACTTGACATTTGACTCAGGCCTTCAGACAGTTTTTTTTTTGTGTTTTTAGTGAAACTTACAATGTAGCTGTCCGTTTTAGTCCACGAAGTAAAAACATGGATAAGTTCTTGACAAAAAACGACAGTCTTACAGCTGTAAAAATAAAAGCAGCAGACAGGGTAAGACAGTATCTTGAGGGTACTCTACATGCAGATGATGATCTTCTGTTCTGCTCCACGTGCAATGTAGTTATCGATCATCTAAGAAAACACAAGATCGACAAACATCTAGAATCCTCTTATCATACTCTAAAAGCAAAAACCTCTGTGTGGAAACAGCAAACTCTCAAGACTGTGTTGAATTGCAAAACAGCTCCGCAAGTTGAAAAGGTTAAAATTGGTCAATCCTGGATAAAGGCATGCTGTGCAGCAAACACACCTTTGCTCACGTCAGGCAACAAGGATATGACGAGTTTTCGTCAGTTAAAAGATGCAAATGGTGATGCAATTCAAAAATGTTCGCAGCTGAGAGTTATTACCTTTTGCTCAAGAAGATTGCCAAAGACAGAAATTTAGCGTTAATCGTAGATGAACTTGGTGCCGATCAAGGCAGGGACGTTCTAGATATTATGGCTGTTCTCCATGACTTAGATGAACTTTCTCCACAGGGTAACTGCGTAAGATAACTACTAGATACTCACTTTCTTGGTGACACCAATCACAAAACTGTATCTCAGACAATTGTTAGAACAGTCAATGAATATGACATAGACTTTGACAATATTGGGTTCTTCAATTCTGATACTGCAGCCTATATGAAAAAAGCATTCCAAACCACATTGTCCAGCTTATTTCCCTTGTCCATCCACATCACATAAAATAGCCATAATGTCAATCTTGTGGCATCAGATTTCAAGAAGCACTTCACTAAAATGAACGAATTTCTTAAGTGATTTAAAAAACTCTTTTTCATACTAAGAAGAAGAAAGAGCAGGTTTCTAAATTTCTTGCGAGGAAAAATGGTGGAAATGCTAAGAAGCACCAAACCCGCACACCAAAAGTTGGAGCACTTGGTTTGACTAGGCCATATATCATGCAGCCTGTTATTTTGTTTGGAGACCTTATAAACAAGGATCTGAGTCGGGGAAGAAATCTTGCGAGCAAATACTCTTCTCCAACTTGAAGAAATGTATCAAGACCGAAAATTTATGAAGAAACCTCACGCTCAGCTTAACTTAGTGAAAGTGAAAAGGCCTACCCTGCTAAAACACCTGTATTACTTCCAGGAGAAAATGCCCCATGTCACCCAGGTACACAAAAAGATGGAGTGCCTTTTTCATTTTCTGACTCTGAATCCCTCGGGGAGCGATAAGAACTTTTTTTTAGGGTAGTCACACATTCTCATGCAAAGAGAAAAAAAAATGGTTGAAGTTGCCACATCAGCATTTGAGGCCGCCCACTCTAAACTATCCAAGTATGTGGAAGATAGGGCCGGGCTAGCAAAAAAATTCCTTGACTAAGTGTGAGTTGTTGATCCAAGGGAGCTGCTTGACTGTGACCAGAGGTTTGGCTCCATTGATAGCATCCCTGGCATTGAATCAGATTCGAAAGAAGAGTGGGGACTACATGTGGATCACAGGGCCTCAAAGCGTCAAGAAACTGAAGGATGAGGAAAAACCTGACCTGAAACAAAGTCCAAAGCAGGTAATCTCCCAGAATTGTACAAGCTAGCTTCTTGCTATTGTACCATAACTGTTGGGTGATACGATGTGGAGGTCATTTTCCTCTTATAATGCCGTTCTCGGTGGGAAGCGTAGATCGCTTGGGCAAAATATGATGAAGGCTTTCCATTTCCTCAACTGGAATTTATGAGTAAAGTCCAAAGTTCAGGAGGAAAAACAAGAAAGTGAAAACGGTCAGCTAAGAAAGAAGCCAAAATCAGTGGAACATAACAAAAGCAGCATTTCTGACAAAGTGAAGAACGAGAGTGTATCTCCTCAAAGTGAAACATCTACTGGGTATTCAGATGATAAGGAAGATAACTCTCCTGAAAAAGATGTTAAAGTCACGCAAGACTTGAAAGTGAAAGATCAAAAAAGCAATCAAAACAAAGTGAGAAAATGAAGTGCAGCTCCCCCGGGAAAAATCAGGGACTTTCCTCCGCAAAAAGTCGAGAGAGAATGAGTCGAGTAGAAACCTTTGTATCTCTCTCAAAGGTTACTCTTCCTGTCTAAAGAAGTTGAATGAGCCTATTTTCAATGTTTCCCAGGAAGAGTGGTAGCTTTTAAGTGATTTTTACAGCGCAACAACTGTGTCAATGAGTAAGAGTCTTCAATATGGTTACCGTTAATGATAATTGAGTCAATTACCTACAGTCTTCACAGATAATAAGCAAATTAAGTAGTCCTTGAAATGGTTACTGTTAAAGTCGGTTTGTTCTGTTTGTGACATGGAAATGTCGGAGGGGAGTGCACCCTCATTTTCTCAGCAACAGCTGATAAATGATCCTATGCAATGATTATTGAATTTATATATACAGTGTAGCAGCAGCCAGATGATAAAGGTAAAATCAATGGACCGCATAATATAGTTCATCAAAATCAGCAGAAGAGACCAGAGAGCATGGAGTGGACTTTGTTGTCAGGAATAGACTGCTGGAATACATATATATTGATCAAAAACTTATGGTACGATTGTTCACATACGCATGCACTTTTGGCCAGAAAAAAAGGGCTTGTAGGTGATCCATACACAAATTCTGTTCACTCAGCCTAGTGCCTCACGACCAAAACTATGACAAAAAAAAGGCCGCCATTGGTAAAAGCCATTTTGCTTCAAAAAATGTACAAAAACCCATAATCCGCGCCAAAAATACTCAATAAGGAGACAGCCTCCAAAAACAATCAGTGCAATACAAAATGGGGCAAGTTGAAAACAGGTTTTTCGATGATTGATCATTAGTGCCATTTATACAAGGAAAAATTAGATGTGTCCTAAATAAGATGCAAAACTATCCCATATAAACAGCACATTAAGACGCGACTTATCGAAGAACAGGTGTTAGGGGCTGTTCTTAGATGAGACGCGTCTTAGCAAAATTTCAAACAAAATGTGCCGTTTACATGGGATAGTTTGAGTCTTATTTATGACGCGTCCTATGAAAGATGCGTCTTATTCACTGCCCTAATGTGAGGGTAAGCTTAAATGAATACATTCACAGTGTTAATGAATTCTGTTTCTCTCAGTAAGCCACCACAGCCAATGGGAAATTCGGCTTGCTGTGGCTGCCTGTCAAATAGTTTTTGCTGAGCCTGGAACATACAGATTGCGCTAATGAAGAGCCTTTAGATCTTTGGGCTTTCTTCCTTGGCCTTGTGTATGCCTCTGCTAGGCGACCATAGAACCTGCAGACGACTTTCTCAATCTCATCCACGCACATGCAAGCCTCCTTTGTGAGCTCTTCTTGGCTCTCCTTGTCACTGCACACCTCTTTGATTCTCTAGGTGCTCTCTAACGTGCTTCCTGGGCTTCTTTTTCTTGGGCTCTTTTTAGTTCTTTTCCACTACACACGAGGCAAAGGTGAAAACATCCAAGTTTGTAGTAGGGTTTTCCAGAAGAAGATGGATGAGCTCTTTCTGTATAGCCATTATGCAGATATTGTACCAATCTCTAATAATCCACTCGCGATCCGGCTTGCCCAGAAGCTAATGTGAAAATCTGTTCACTGTGGCCAGACTTCCAGCCCTTGATCCGGGCGGTGCTATCTATTATTTCCCCGCGGGTGAAGTCATGCACTCGAGAAGAGACGCCCGGGGTCGCACCTTTCTGCTTCCTCAAGTGGTATAGCCGGGGTCAGAGATGTGTACACTTTTGTTTGTGAGCTCATGGGTAGAGGGAGTGCTTGCAAGCCTGGAGGTCACAAGCTCAAACAAAGTTTACACGTTTTGTCTCTGGCTATACTGCTATTGGAGACCAAGTTTACCTTTCTACCTTAAGTGTGCGATTTTTGTCAGTTTTTTTAAAAGAACTTCAAACTGGGATGTTTAATTTTTCACAAGCAAGCACGAGGAGGACAAAGCTAATGAAAGTAGTGACGAAGAAACTGCTTAAGACAATAACGAGCCTTTCCGATAGTCTGACAAATTCAGTGAAATTGATGTTGAAGGGTTGTCATGTTACAGCTAAAGGTCTTGGGGACAATGCAACATCCAAATATTTCTTCAATCTATTTATGGATGACAATTATCTGGATGAAATTGTCAAATGCTCAATTGCTAACACCCAGTCTAAAGGAGACGAAGCTTTCGCACCAAAATTTCAGCCTATTTTGGGCTAAACATTTAGATCGGAATCCATCACCTTCTCCCGCTGGCCCTGTTTTGCGAGTCTGACACATTTATCAGCGTGGAAGGCTTCAAAAACAATTCTGAAGCAGCAGTTTTTTAACTCTGGGAAAATATCTGCATTTGGTTGACCTGAATGCTCAAGATCGAGCCAACCGTTGTTGCAAAGTTTGCTCACACATAACCCTCCCTGAAAAGCGATTTGCTGGGACTTACATTCCTGGTAATAATGTCAGTGTAGGCTAAGGTCTTGTAACGTTCAACGGGAGGCTGTAATTCAAGCAGTATATGCCCGTGAAGCCTGATAAAGTAAGCATAAAAGTTTGGATGCTCGCCAGCTAGGACACCTGCTTTATTCCCCCGTTTCCAGTCTACTACGGAAAGAACCACACAAAAAAATGATTTTTAGTAAAAGGAAGACATTAAATTCTTGAGTAATTTAAAGCAGCCATTTTGCCTGAAATTTCAGGGTGGTCTGGGCTCAGGGTTTGAGCTTATTGGGTTAACGAGAAAAAGCCAAGCTTAAACAGTCAGTTACATTCCATCCTGGCAAAACTGTTCGTTGAACATATTACTGAACATATTGTTCTCTAGTTTATTTTTTCACTTAAAACTGTTTACTTAAATCAGGTAGTTTTTTATCTTGTCACTTGATAATGATGTTATGGCAACTTCAAAACGTTGGTAATTTTTATTCTTAAGTGTTTTGTAAAACTGATCATTTAACTTACAGTAGCCTACCTGGACAATACAGTTAAGGAACAAAATTATTCTTTAATCGCAATGTTTCCATTAGAACGTACTTAGACATTGACAAGGAATGGCTAGACTATAAGGCTCTTGACATACTATCGATCCAACAAACAAAGATTGGCCATACTTTTCTGGACTCTCAACTTCAAGTAGAGGGATATAGACTTTTTCGCCGAGACAGAGTGAAAGGTAGTGGGGGTATTGCGTCTATGTGAACAATAAAATTACAGCCCCCTCTAAGAAAGTAGCTTGTAAATCAATAGAATCACTTCTAGATATTCGTATTGGACAACGTCAAATTGCCCTGGTCTGCGCATACAAACCACCCTCTGAGGATAACAACTCACTCAAAATGACTTGGCAAAGTTACTGGATGAAGAGTCGTCAAAACTTTATGTGCATTGGGGACCTGAACTGCGATTTACTTCATCCTTTGGATAATAACAAACAAGGAAAAAGCTTACTTGATCTCTGTGATGTATAGGATATAGACTCACTTATCAGTGTTCCTACAAGAATCTCTGAAGGCAAACCATTGCGTTTTGATGTTATTCTTACTAACGTGCCTACTTACACAATCACCTCTGGCGTTGTAGACACTGGTCTCAGTGACCTGAATCTAGTGTACACAGTTTTGAACGCCAAACTACCATGACCCAGGGCAGAGAAAGTTATCAAGCGATCATTCAAGACTTTCAATCAAACATTCTTTCTTGTAGACTTCAGTCAAGTTCCGTTCTCTGTTACGTACATCTTTGGTGACATAGACGACCTGTATTGGT